AAGGTAATCCAGGAACCAACTAGTAGTGGAAAAGGTGTTACATACAAACTGGATGATCTGGATCGATTTTAGAAAAGCATTTAATCTGGTACCACATATCTGATTCCAGAAATGGCTGAAACTTTACAACCTCTGTGACGGCCTAAAAAATTCTTTAAAGCAGAGATAAAACAGTGCCGAAAAAACTCATGAAACAAAGTCTCAATGGAGTCGGTGAATATCAAGCAAGAAATCATCCACGAATATTCAGTCTCGCCGTGTATATTTTGTTTGGCATTGAATCTGCTCACTTACCGAATAATAATAGGTAAAGATACAAATTGAAAGGCAACAATGTAATATCACGCTGTTTCACACGGACGACGTACTCTATGCAAGGTCAGTAAAAGAGCTGTGTAATGTGATCGAAAGCGCACGAATCATTTTCAAATATATCAGGATGGTATTCGGTTTCGATAAATGTGCTGCGGTCAAGAATAAGAAAGAAAAGCATCTGAGAATGGTTTAATGAACAGCTTGAAAGAAGAATAGTCGTACGAATAGATCAGCGTCCTATTATTTAACGACAAGTTACATGAAAAAACGAAAAGAAAAATCGGTTAATTCCGAATAGTTAGTGATGCATTGAAAAGCAAACTGTGAAAATTAATCAAGACGGTATACCAGTATATGCTTATACAGGAAGAATCAGAGAGTGAAAGCAAGTGGAAAGAGACAGAACTGGATAGTAAAACAAGTAAGATCTCGAACTTGTACAGGGTCGTACCACCAGACGACAGATATCGTAAGAAAAAGTGGAAAACGGCTATGTTGTATGAAAGATACGCCGTAATTAAATACATGATTCCTAAGGTAGTACGTGAACAATAGGGTGCTGAAAACCATAAAGGTTAAAGGTTCGTGCAAACTAAAAGAGCCAACAGGTAGAAATATGAACCATCCGGAAAACGTAGAGATCACCTGATATAACGGTTAGAAAAACATAGAGCCTTAAACCAAATTTCTTCGCCGACTCGCAGAGAACATAGAGGCACACAAGAATTTTATGGGGCCATCTAGAACAGGGTTTAATGACAGAAGCAGAGCGCGTTGAATAGCCGCCCAAAATTCAACATTGAGCACAGAGGAAAAAATCCTGCA